GGGATTACAGGCAAGCGCCACCATGCCCAGCTAATTTTTTGTATTTTTAGTAGAGACGGGGTTTCACCATGTTGACCAGGATGGTTTCGATCTCTTGACCTTGTGATCCACCCGCCTCGGCCTCCCTAAGTACTGGGATTACAGGCTTGAGCCACCGCGCCCGGCCGCAAAAACTTGTTAAACCATTTCAGAAGCTGGGTGTGGTGGCTCACTCCGGTAATCCCAGCACTTTCGGAGGCCTAGGTGGGCAGATCACAAGGTCAGGAGTTCAAGACCAGCCTGGCCAACATGGTAAAACCCCATCTCTACTAAAAATACAAAAAACTTAGCCCGGCATGGTGGCAGGCACTTGTAATCCCAGCTACTCAGGAGGCTGACGCAGGAGAATCGCTTGAACCCAGGAGGCGGAGGCTGCAGTGAGCTGAGACCACACCATTGCCCTCCAGCCTGGGTGACAGAGCAAGACTCTGTCTCAAAAAAAATTTTTTTTCAGGAATATCTATTGGCTGAGAAAGAGCTGTCAACTTTCTCGTGCTTGAGGTGCATTTTTGAATACTAGAACTTGTGGCTCTCCTGTAAGAATTAAGTGCTTCAGGTGTTACCACACTAGTATTCATCAGGGTGTTTGAGGAGAGCATCTGCTGCCATAGCCAAGTTCTCTTACATAGTTACATGGCAAAGTTCTTACGTGTTGCAGGAAGCAATCTGTCTGTGACTGTGGCTTCATGTAGGTAACAGTCACCTCTTCACTCCTGCCGTTTGCATCTGCTCTTCCTCATCTGCAGCACCAGCCATCTTTTTTTTTTTTTGAGACAGAGTCTTACACTGTCATCTGGGCTGGAGTGTAGTGGCATGATCTCAGCTCACTGCAACCTCCAAATCCCAGGTTCAAGAGATTCCCCTGCCTCAGCCTCCCGAGTAGCTGGGATTACAGGTGCCTGGCACCAGGCTTAGCAAATTTTTTTGTATTTTTAGTACAGACAGGGTTTCACCATGTTGGCCAGGCTGGTCTCGAACTCCTGGCCTCAGGCAATTTATCTGCCTCCCAAAGTGCTGGGGTTACATGTGTGAGCCACTGCATCCCACCCAGCATCAGCCATCTTAACATCCTGGCAGTCACTGCCACAGAAGTGTGTGTCCCCAATTTGTGGCAAAAATTAATTTTGTACATTGATAATTTAATGACACATCTGTTCTCAGCACACTATTAGACTGCAGCACTGCTGTAAAGTTAGGATAGAAAGCTCACTGACAGTATCAGTTCACATTGAAAATGAAACTTCAGGCTGGGTGCAGTGGCTCACACCTGTAATCCTAGCACTTTGGGAGGCCAAGGCAGGCGGATCATGAGGTCAGGAATTCAAGAACAGCCTGGTGAAACCCTGTCCCTATTAAAAAAAAAATTTTTTTAAATGAAACTTCAAACTATAAGTTTGAATATTCATTTGCTGCTAGCACCTTTTATAACATAAAGTACTTAGGAATCACATCTGAAAAATTATCTCTTTCAAATGACTAATACTCTATAATGAAAAGCATGTTAGCATTGCCAGGGGGAGGAGTGGGAGAAGGATGCTGTGGGGAGAAGATAGATCCTGGATATATACATATATACATATATGTGTGTGCGTGTGTGTGTGTGTATTCTGGATATACACATATACTCCCAGAATCTATCCTTTTTTTTTTTTTTTTTTTTTTTGAGATGGAGTCTCACTCTGTCACCCAGGCTGGAGTGCAGTGCAGTGCGCAATCACAGCTTACCGCAGGCTCAACCTCCCCTCAAGCAATCCTCCCACCTCAGCCTCCCTGGTAGCTGGGACTACAGGCATATACCACTAGGCCCAGCTATTTTTTTTTGCAGAGATGGTTTTTTGCCATGTGGCCCAGGCTGGTCTTGAACTTCTGGGCTCAAGCGATCCACCCACCTCAGCCCCCCAAAATGCTGCGATATTATAGGTGTGAGCCACCATGCTTAGCCTGAGATTCTGGTAATATTCTACTGAGCGAGGTAGTAGCTATACATGAGAATTCATTTGATTTATTTAATTCCAAAGGTATGTAATTCTCTTGCATATACGGGACCTGGGCACCTAATATTGAAAAAAAACTACAGTTTCACTGAGACTGTCTTTGACAGAGGCAGACAGGCCTGACTTCAGTGGTGACTGGTGTCTGGGGCATGTAACAGCAGCACGAGGCTGTGCCTAGCATCCATGGTTTCCTTTTATGCTGATAGCTGAAAATCTCAATTACTTTAGGAAACAGGGCTGTCATTTAGAACACAAGAGCATAAAAGGGTTTTCGCAGTGGTCCACTCAGTCTAGTGTCCTGTCTGACAATGGTACCCAGAAATGTTTTTGTGAAAGAGCATAATTGGGTCATAAACCCAGCATGCCAGACCCAGCTCTGCACCAATGGGGAGGCGACTGTAAAGCATTCAATTGTGTAAGGCATTGTGTTGAGCCAGTACAATGAGAACCTCAGAATAAAGATGGCCCCACAAATACAAGAGACAATAGGGATGGTATTTTTCATTGTGCTATTAGGGAGAAAAATGAGAAAAACATAATTAGAGTAAGGATTGAGGCAGCGTAGTACAGAGGTAAAGAGCAGGCCGGGAGTGGTGGCTCATGCCTGTAATCCCAGCACTTTGGGAGGCCAAGGTGGGTGGATCAGTTGAGGTCAGGAGTTCGAGACCAGCTTGGCCAACATGGTGAAACCTCATCTCTACTAAAAATACAAAAATTAACCAGGCATGGTGGTGTGCACCTATAGTTCCAGCTACTTGGGAGGCTGAGGCAGAAGAATCACTTGAACCCGGGAGGCGGAGTTACAGTGTGGAGGTTACAGAGCCGAGAACGTGCTACTGCATTTCAGTGTAGGGGACAGAACAAGACTCCGTCTCAAAAAAAAAACAAAAAAAAGAGCACAGGTTCTAGAACCTGGCCAGCTGTGTTTAAATCTTTACTCCACTGCTTACTACATAGATCACATTGGCTGAATTACTCTACCTTGTGGTGCCTTCATTTTATTCAGCTGTAAATTGAGGGTCAGACGTGGTGGCCCACACCTGTAATCCCAGCACTTTGAGGGGCTGAGGCGGGTGGATCATGAGGCCAGAGTTAAAGACCAGCCTGGCCAACATGGCGAAACCCTGTCTCTACTAAAAATACAAAAATTAGCTGGGCATGGTGGTAGGCACCTTTAACCCCAGCTACTCGGGAGCTGAGGCAGGAGAATCACTTGAACTCAGGAGGTGGAGGTTGCCGTGAGCCAAGATTGTGCCACTGCACTCCAGCCTGGGCAACAAGATGACATCAGATACGAGCTTATTATGGGAGCTGAAAGGCATTTTTCTAGTTATTGGGCCTAAAAGAGAGTTACAGTTTAGCAGAAGAAACAGAAAAATGAGCAGGCCATTTTTATCTGGCGTGATGTTACTGAGGCAGGAGGCACAGACTGCTCTAAGGATACCTGAGGAGCATCTAAGAGTTAAACAGCTATCATTTGTTGAACACTAGTGATGTCTTAGACATTCACCCCTGTGCTTTGTTTTCTATTTTATCCGTTAGCAATGCCCTATAAGCCCCGTCACTTACCCAAGGTCTTTACTCACAACTTAAGTTGTTGTAACCTCACAACAACTTAAGCAAGGGGTAAAATTCACAGCTTGGGGAAGGCAGAGCCATCTTTTTTCCCCTTTATCATGCAGGGTACCATTAATATTTTAATGCACTTCGGAAAAAGACCTGTCTCGGAGAAAGAGAGTCCAAAAGAAAGTCTGTCTTATGGCCGGGCGCAGTGGCTCACACCTATAATCCCAGCACTTTGGGAGGCCGAGGCGGGCGGATTACAAGGTCAGGAGATCGAAACCATCCTGACCAACATGATGAAACCATGTCTCTACTAAAAATACAAACATTAGCTGGGTGTGATGGCATGTGCCTGTAATCCCAGCTACTCGGGAGGCTAAGGCAGGAGAATTGCTTGAACCAGGGAGGCAGAGATTGCAGTGAGCCAAAATCGTGCCACTGCACTCCAGCCTGGGTGACACAGTAAGACTCTGTCTCAAAAAAAAAAAAAAGTCTGTCTCCTCACCTCATGGTACTTTGCAACTGGCCATATTTCCAAATCAAATTCACACACTGTTTGAAAGCAGCTCACCTTGGGGATGAATTAGGAAAATTGCAAGCCCCAGGCCTGGGTATGTGAGTGAGTTTCAGCAAGAGGTGAAGGGCAGGCAGGCACCCTGTCTGGGGAGGAAGTCCAGTGTCACAATTGTACCTCTGAGTAGTGTGTTCCCAACATTCCAGAGAACAGCTCCACCCTGGAACAGCTTTTATGCGTTATCCGCACTGACGTCAGCCATGTACCTGTGAGCACGACTGGCTTCTTGGCTGCCCACAGCTGCACTGTTCCTTCTTGCTGGGTTTTGGTAGTACACATGAGCTATTCATTTGAGAGTCTCAGGCCCACTAGCAACTCTGAACACCTCATACTCTAAAAAAGAGCACTGCTTTTCCCAGCTCATCTGGGATTACATGAGAGACTAGATTGTGTACAAGAAGGTCAACAACTACTCTGATTGGGGAATCGGCAAAAGAGGCCTTCTTGGAATGAGTCTCCAGGGATCTGAGCCTTGGACAAAGGAGTTGATAAGATTTTGACCTAGGACAAAGGAAGATAGAACAGGCCTAAGAGAAATAAGCAAAAATATTTCAGTACCTAGGTTTCAATCATTCAACTTACTGGTATGTATGTATGTACGTATGTGTGTATGTATGTATGTATTTATTTTTTTGAGATGGAGTCTCGCTCTGTCACCCAGGCTGGAGTGCAGTAGCAAGATCTCAGCTCACTGCAACCTCTGCCTCCCAAGTTCAAGCAATTTTCCTTCCTTGGCCTCCCAAGTAGCTGGGGTTACAGGCACCAGCTACCATGCTCCCACTAATTTTTGTATTTTTAGTTGAGATGGGATTTCACCATGTTGGCCAGGATGGTCTCAAACCCCTGACCTCAGGTGATCCACCTGCCTCAGCCTCCCAGAGTGTTGGGATTACAAGTGTGAGCTACCATTCCCGGCCTATTATTTTGTTATGATTATTTTGTGGGGACAAGGTCTTGCGCTGTCACCTAGGCTGGAGTGCAGTGGCTTGATCGTAGCTCACTGCAGCCTCAAACTCCCCAGCTCAAGTGATCCCCCGTCCTACCTCGGCCTCCTGAGTAGCTAGGGCTACTGGTGTGAGCCACTAACTGGTATTTTTTCAACATTTACTCTGTGCCACGTGCTGGAAATTCAATACTGCACTAGTTACACAGTTTCTGCCCTTTTGAGTAGTTCACAAAGTAGTAGAACAAACAATCACTAAATAATATAAATTACATTTGTGATAAGTGATAGGGAAATAGCATATACCCTAGTAGGCTGGAGTCAAGGAAAGCTCACCAGAGGAAATAATGTTTGAGCTGCAATTTGAAGTCTTAGAAGGATTCAGGCTGGACATAAGCTTAGGGAAGGGTGCAAGAAGAGGTTACAAAAAGGGCAAGGGGGAGAGACAATCCTGTGTGCAGGATGGTATGGTATAGGTCAAGGGCAGAGTTACCCGCCTACGTGGTGATGGTTTTGGGGCCAGAGGATGTGTAATGGAGCGCAATAGGGTAGGTGACCTATGATTGGCTCTGTTTCTGTCCCTACATTCTGTCTACTAGATTAAGTTACCTGTTTTCCCATCTACAATACAGACGGCTCCAATAAACTCAGTTTTAAGTCTTTAGAATCCCTTGGCCCTCCAGGCTAACCATGTGAGGAAGATGCTTCGCACAGAGATTTGGGTTCCCTACTGTTCTATTAGGCATGTTTTTCTAGCCAGGTGGAAGAGGAAGTCTCCTTTTTATAATCCTACTATCTTTCAACATGCCTAATATTCGTCAAAGAATTAGTCTCAGCATTGTGCTATTTAGGGGATGGTACATTATTCCTGGATTTTCTCAAAAGGAGAAATTAGAAAAACCCTTGATTGCATAATTGAGTCAGCTTATACCCCAAGTAACTTCAATTTCCCTATCTTGCTTCTTGTTATTGTTTAAAAAAATAACCTAGAAAAGCAGGATGTTTATACTGTATAAAAGGCACCCAAGGGAATTTCAGTTCAGCTGCTGAGTCTATGGCTGCTGTAGTAAACATCTGTACTTCCAAGGCCTTGCACAGAGCAATCCCCAGGGCAGCATTTCCCAAGGTGTGTTTCATACAACACTAATTCCTAGAGCTGCACCTTGAATAAAGGGCTCCAGGGGTTAGTACATTTGAGGACGCTGAATATGAAATCCATTCATGAAGAAGTATCACTACACGAGTGAATTAAGGGGCTAGCAAATCCGATAGCAAAAAACAAACAAACCAATATTTCCCAAGTACTTAACCACAGGAATCCTTTGTTTGAATATCTGTTTATTTCTATGGCAAGACTACCTGAGATTATTGCTCATTTTTATTATCATTATTATTATTATTATTATTATTATTTGTTTGAGACAAGTCTCGTTCTGTAACCAGGCTGGAGTGCAATGGCATGATCTCGGCTCACTGCAACCTCCACCTCCCAGGTTCAGGTGATTCTTCTTCCTCAGCCTCCTAAATAGCTGGGACTGCAGGCATGTGCCACCATGCCTCGCTAATTTTTTGTATTTTTAGTAGAGACCAGGTTTCACCATGTCAGCCAGGATGGTCTCGATCTCCTGACCTCGTGATCTGCTCGCCTCGGCCTCCCAAAGTGCTGGGATTACAGGCATGAGCCACCGTGCCCAGCCTATTATTATTATTATTTTTTGATACAAAGTCTCACTGTCACCTAGGCTGGAGTGCAGTGGTGCAATCTCTGCTCACTACAACCTCAGCCTCCTCGGAGGTTACTGATTAACCTCCTCAGTAGCTGAGATCGCGGATGTGTGTCACCATGTCCAGCTAATTGTTGTATTTTTAGTAGAGATGGGTTTTTGCCATGTTGCCCAGGCTGATCTCAAACTCCTGGGCTCAAGCAATCTGCCTGCCTCAGCCTCCCAAAGTGCTCGGATTACAGGCCCGGCCCTGCTTATTTTTTATTTAACATTTATTCAGCATTACATGCAAAGTAAGTGTGGTGTCATAGGGAAATCAATAATATAGGGGAAGGGTTTAATATGCATTTGATGTATCATTTCAAAATATTCACTTCTTTTACAGAAGAAAATAAATGGGATGAACTCATAAGTTATATCAAGTAGGACAGGCACAGTGGCTCACGCCTGTAATCCCAGCACTTTGGGAGGCCAAGGTGGGCGGATCACCTGAAGTTGGGAGTTCAAGACTAGCCTGACCAACACGGAGAAACCCTATTTCTACTAAAAACATAAAATTAGCTGGGCACAGTGGCACATGCCTGTAATCCCAGCTACTTGGGAGGCTGAGGCGGATAATCACTTGAACTCAGGAGGTGTAGGTTGCAGTGAGCTGAGATCACGCCATTACACTCCAGACCTTGCACCAAGAACGAAACTCCATCTCAAAAAAAAAAAAAAAAAGATATATCAAGTATAAATCAGTAATTATCCTATAGAAAATGTGTGGGTTAAACAAAGATGATAAGAGTTGTGAGAACCAAGAGTACATGTGGTAATAAACATAAATAAGGGGCACCTGGTCACTTATTAGTACTACATTAATACCAATATTCATGAGTATTTAATATGGTCACCTATTGGTGATACCTAGCCTGGCTTCATGTGTTCTCTGAACCAAAAACCAAACAAACAAAAAAACCTTTTAGCAAACTAGAAACAGGACATTTCTTCAACCTGTTATAGGACATGTAAAACTAACATCATACTAAATGGTGAAAGACAGTGCTTTCCCCGTAGAATCAGGAACACGGAGATCACACCAAAAAATCCATGGCTATTCAACAGACTATTGACAAGCTACAACTTTGGCCAATTGCTTCTCTCCAATAGAGCAAATATGTACCATTGACCCAGGACCTCCTCCTTCCCTTGCTTGAACTTCACTGTTGGCCTGGAAGTCCCTCACAAGGTTAAACATAAAGTTACTGTATGACCAGCAATTCCACTCCTAGGGATATATACCCAAGAAAAATGAAAATATATGTCCACACAAACACTTGTGTACAAATGTTGATAGCAGCATTGTCCATAACAGCCAAAAAGCAGAAACAACCCAATTGTCCATCAACTGATGGGTAAACAAATGTGGTATACCCACCAATAGAATATTATTGAGCCATAAATGGATATGAAATTCTGATACATGCTATACCTTGGATGCACCTTGAAAACATTATGCTAAGTGAAAGAAACCAGTCACAAAAGTCTGCATATAGTATGATTGTATGTATATAAAATGTTCAGAATAGGCAAATTAGAGGTGGGTTGGTGGCTGCCAGAGTGTGGGGAGAGAGAAGAAAATGGGAAATGACTTCTAATGGGTACAGAGTTTCTTTCAGGGAAATGAAAAGGCTATGGGATTTGATAGTGGTGATATAGGCACAACTCTGTGACTTGTGTAAAAACCACTGAATTATACACTTTAAAAGGATAAACTTTAAACTTTATGCTATATGTGTTATATCTTAATAAAGTTGTTATTAAATCAATCTATATAGTTCACCATATTACAGACTAAAAAAGAAAAAATAATGATCTCAATAGATGCAGGAAAACATTTGAAAAAATCCAATATCAATTACTGATTTATAAAAACAAACAACCTCTTAGCAAACTAGAAACAGAAGGGTATTTCTTCAACCTGTTATAGGACATCTAAAGCTAACATCATACTAAATGGTGGAAGACAATGCTTTCCTCATAGAATCAGGAACAAGGCAAGGATGTCTGCTTTCATCACCTCTACTCAACACTGTGCTGGTTTGAGCCAGTGCAATAAGGCAAGAAAAAGAAACAACAGACAACCAGACTGGAAAGGAAGGAGTAAAGCTGTCTATTCATAGATGATATGATTCTTCAGAAAATCACACGACATCTACAAAAATAGCTACCAGAACTAAAAAGTGAGTTTAGCAAGGTTGCTGGATATAAGTTCAGTATACAAAAATCACTTGTATTTCTTTTTTTTTTCTTTTTTTCTTTTAGCCAGACAAATGCCTGGCTAATTTTTGTATTTTTAGCGGGGATGGGTGTTTCACCATGTTGGCCAGGCTGGCCACTCCTGACCTCAGATGAATCACCCACCTTGGCCTCCCAAAGTGCTAGGATTACATGTGTGAGCCACTGCACCTAGCAGTTGTATTTCTATATACTAGCAAACAAGTGGAAATTGAAATTTTAAAAAATGCCACTTATACTAATACCAAAAATGTCAAATACATAGCAATAAATCTAACAAATGACATGCAAGTTCTTTACACTGAAAATTACAAAAAGATCTCAATAAATGAAGAGATAGTTCATACTCATGGATCAGAAGATTCAACATTGTTAAAATGTCATTTCTCACAGGGCGCGGTGGCTCACGCCTGTAATCCCAGCACTTTGGGAGGCCGAGGCGGGTGGATCACGAGGTCAAGAGATCGAGACCATCCTGGTCAACATGGTGAAACCCCATCTCTACTAAAAATACAAAAAATCAGCTAGGCATGGTGGCACGTGCCTGTAATCCCAGCTACTCAGGAGGCTGAGGCAGGAGAATTGCCTGAATCCAGGAGGCGGAGGCTACGGTGAGCCGAGATCGCGCCATTTTACTCCAGCCTGGGTAACGAGAGCGAAACTCTGTCTCAAAAAAAAAAAAAAAAAAAAGTCATTTCTCCCCAAATTTGCATCTGGATTCAGTGCTATCCTAATCAAAACCTCAGCAGTTTTTTGTGTAAAAATCAACAAACTGATTTTAAAATCATTAATAATTTGGAAATGCAAAAGACCTGGAATAGCTAAACAATTTGGGAAAAGAAGAAAAACTTTTTTTTTTTTTAGAGACAGAGTCTTGCCCTGTCACCAGGCTGGAGTGCAATGGTGTGATCTCAGCTCACAGCAACCTCAACCTCCTGGGTTCAAGTGATTCTCCTGCCTCAGCTTCCCGAGTAGCTGG